AACTGTCCTACTCTGTGAAGTAGACACAACTGCTGTGCACCAGACCATTACTATGTTTGGGTCCCTCAAGACCATCCACATTCCTCAGCACTTGATGTCTCATACTAGTTCATCAAATATTAGACCCTTCATGGAGCAGAACTCAACATTTGGTACCACAGCTGTCCCTCTTAGTGAATGGCTTCTTGGAAGCAAATCTGCCAATAGTCATCAGGCTTCTTACACACCCAGCCCCAGTCTCCAGGACTGGCTCACCCAAAATCAGACCTTGGAGAATAGTCAGACTTTGGAAAATAGACTTCTGCCAGAGCCTGCAATTTCTTTAATAATGTCTGGGGGAGCCTTTAAAGGGCTTGGAGAACTGATTCCACAAGAGGCAGCAACAAGAAGTTTCTGAAAAACCAAGTTACCAAAAGGGTAACAGCCATTCTACCACCAGTTCTTACTCCATAGATACCGAAAAGGTTAAAAATCTAGAGCTTCTTGATCACAGTCAGATGGACCGTTCTGATTGGCTGGTAACTCCCCAGGAATCCCAAAAGCTGGAAAAGCCTGGGAATGGCAGCTGTGAAACCAGTGAGAACTTTAACCTCTTGTTCCAGGTGTTCTAGTATCGTATAGAGTGAATGATTGGATTGCTAAGCCCAATTCCTATACCAGTTGTTGGGACAACCAGCCTTAAGGTGTGGAGATTGAAAACCTAGGCGATCTGAACTGCTTGAATGACCACATGGTGGCTAAGAAACCCTTACGCGCTCCCAGCATGATAATTGAGGATTGGCTCGTCCAGAACCATCAGGACCCAATATAACGTAGAGGAGGTCTGTCTGTAAAGCCAATGAGCCCTGTACAAGCTTTGCAGAGTGTGTATGTGATGAAAATTATGAGAGGGAAGCTGTTTGTAAATGGCTGCTGGAGAAAGAAACAAAAGATAAAAATGGTATGCCTGTGGAACAAAAACCTGAATCTGAGAAGTGTATAGATTCCCTGCATACATATGTGGCTCTGTCCTTTGAGAAAAGAGGAAACATAATAAGCTAAGGCACCAAAGGCAATGGCTCTTTCAAGAACTGCTGATTCCTTCAAAGTGATAAGGAACAGATTCCTTCGTAATGATAAGGAACAGTCCTTTGTCAGTGGCTCATCATGCTCTCATGCAAAGAAGGATATCCCAAGAAAGTGCCTAGTACTGAGGACAGAACTGGCAAACAAAAACTTATGAGCCCTATGGCCACTTCCTGGTGTCCCTTTAACACAGCTGACTGGGTCTTGCCAGGAAAGAAGACAGGAAACTTCAGCGAGTTATCCTCAGGAGAAGATAAGTGACTATTTCCATAGAAGGCCAAGGAAATATTACTTAATTCACCCCTATAGGAGGAATATAGCTTTCCCCTGGACTGTTAGGGCCTTCTAGCAGTTTGTGATCTCTTTGCCTGTATACCGCTTGAAGTTGATAAAGAAAAGTGGTTGTATTGAATTCCTCTACAGATGTGAAGGAGTGGAGTACTAGAGTCAAGCAACTTTTCTGCAAATTATCACACTTCCCATGAGCCAAAGTGACTGCAGTTTGCCAAATTATTGTGCCCTGGGTGTGACCAGCCAGCTTAGTTCTTTTCCCGCCTAATTTTGAACGAGTAAAGAGAAATAAGTTATCAAATTTTGAGTTACTGTGTAAAAGAAAAGGACTATTTGTTGATGATGAGGTGATTCAGTTTCTTCTCACAAAGTATTAACTTAATTCACCCCTAGTCTAGAAACACAGATTCTTGGCAAATATTTATTTCATAAGCCCCAGTGGCTCCTTAAATTAGTTTGTTACTAGTACATTAAAGCACTGTGGTTTGAAAAATGAAATAGTTCTATAATCAAGATGTTGATTAAAGCTATAAACTTCCTTAAAAATAATTCTGAGAAAAATATATTATTCCTTAATCTTTTTTCATGTTGTGCATTTTTTTTTCCGTACACTAGATTCAAGAAGTGGTCAAAATGTGTGAATGTTTTAAGTTTTTGATACATTTTATTAAAACAGTTTTTCAGAAATGGTTATTGCAGATTTTACTCCTGTATATAGAATTAGCAATGGATGAGAATGGCCATTTTTCTTATCACCACTTTTTTTTAACTTTGTTAACATACATCTAAATTTATAACTTTCTGAAAGAGAGATAATTAACTAGTAGAAAAATACTCTTTTCCAGTTTAGGATTCTTGAAAAATGTTAATTTGTTTCTCACAATTCATGCATAGCATGTGCCTTATCAATTGTAGCTCTGCATTTTCAAACAGTGAGGGTTTTTGGATTTTGTTTTCATTATGTCAGATACCTGAAAGATGTTTTCATTATTTTATAAGCTGAGACCCATTTAGGTGTATAGTTGAATTCACTGTGTGATTAATATTTTGAGTTAGTTAATAGGTTAATTTTAGCTATTTTGGTGAAAAATTTTAAACTGCTTTTTATACTCATTTTTTTTTTGTTTAATAACAAAACAGGAAACACTTGGGATATTTCTCTTTTAAAAAATGTGTTTAGTCTTAGTCAAAATGAAATGTACTACAGTTTAATATATGGGGTATAAGTAGAGTTAATCCAACTCAGTACGGTAAAACTAAATTATATATGTTTTACGTTTGTTTAGATACAGATTTTAAAGTAAGCTTTATTTTAAGTTTACAATTCTTAATTGACTCTTCAATTAGATTAGAATTCAGTAAAAACGACCTGATCCAAATAGTTGTCACCATTTAAAGCATAGTTACTTTATAATTATTACTGATTACAAGAATGGCAATTCATGCTTTTTTTTTGTAGTTTTTAATCGCTTGGATATCTTTTTTTTTTTAACTGTCACCTGAGGATATGTTTATTTGTTTTTAGAGGAGGACAGAGAGAAAGAAACATTGATGTGAGAGAGAATCATCCATCAGTTGCCTGCTACACACTCCCTGACCAGGGATTGAGCCCTCAACCTTTTGGTTTCCAGGATGATGCTCTAACTGAGTCACCCTGCCAGGGCCCTCCTGAGTACCTTAACTAACCCTGAGATTTTTAGTACAAAGTGTATACCCAACTTAAAATAAAAAATTGTGATTCAGCCCTGGCTGATGTGGCTCAGTGGATTAAGCACCGGCCTGTGAACCAAAGGGTCACTGGTTTGATTTCCAGTCAGGGCACATGCAAAGATTGTGGGCCAGGTCCCCAGTATGGGGCACTCAAGAGACCACCACACATTAATGTCTGTCTCCCTTTCTCACTGCCTTCCCCTCTCTCTAAAAATAAATAAATAAAATCTTTTTTTTTTTAAATTGTGATTCAAAGAGGTGAATTGCTTAAATTTTATACCCTAATTGGATAAGGTTTCAGTCTAAGCTGTTTCTCCCAGGGGTGTCTGATTTGCAGACTGCTGGCTGCATGAGCCTCAAGATGGCTGTGAATGCAGCCCAACACAAAATCATAAATTTACTTGAAACATTATGAGATTTTTTTGTGATTACATGTTACATTGTATTTAATGTGTGGCCCAAGACAGCTCTTCTTCCAGTGTGGCACAGAGATGACAAAAAGTTGGACACTCCTAAACCTTTTCTCCCCTGAGTGTTTTCTGCTATTCCGTTTGCTTAATTTTGGACAATCACTTGAGTTATTTATTTTAAGAATTCTCTGGAACAAATAAATGTGCTTTTACTATTTCAAATTTTAATCATGCATTTTGAAAAAATGTTTGATGGATACCAATATTTAGCCAACTCCTTTCCAGTAATTTTGCATTAATTGTTGCAACACATTTGGGCAACTGTTATGAAAATTAGCTAAATAGCAAGTAACTGCATTCAACATATTTAGTTTTAAATAACAGATTCTTATATATTTTTAAGTTTAATTTTGTATTCCCTGATAAAATAACAGCTCTTAATTTTCAGGACATTTCCACATGTATTATCCTCTTACTAAGTCCTGTGCCAATCCATGTCATGAAACAGTATAGCAATTACAATTATTTGATAATTGAGGCACTTGGGTTCCAAAGAAATTATATATCACAAGGTTACTTTGTTCCAGAAGAAAGATTAGAACTTTGCATTTGTAAATTTAAAATATCTTAGCCATTTAATAAATTTTATGGTTTAATTTTAGAAGTAATACCAAAATTTTTAAATGTTTTTTAATTTTTAAAAAAGCTTATAAAAGTTTGTACCTTTAAGATCTTTAGCCCCTAATTCTAAATTATTTTAAAATTAGCCAATGAAAGTATTTTTGTCATTTTTAATTGGCTATCACTGTTTCTTCCCAAATATTTGTAATGGGAAAAGTTACAGCAAATAGTCATCTCATTTCTTTTTTTAAAAAAGTAACAATTAAAACTCTTTTAGGAATTTTTGTTTTGTAGTGTAAGTTTCACTTATTTCACAGGAACTAGTGTTTGTAAAATTTTAGAAGCATGTTTTTGATTGAGGACATTCCCTACCTCTTAAGTCTTACGTGATTTTAATCTTTTAAAATAATCAGCAAGTTCAGGCTACTTAATTCATTCGCTACTCAACAAGGTCATGACTGCCATCTTTCTTCTTTTGATTCCCTGTGTTACAAAGTACAGCACAGTTCTTGTATACATACCTTTCTTTTACTTTCAAAAGACCGCTTGTTGATTTGTATTTTCTTCATTTTCTATGTACAAGATCTTTTTTAATTATAACTGAAAGCGTCATTGTACCTAGATAATCTCTCTCACATGGCATGATTAGTCTTCAAATTCTTCCTAAGTTGTTTTCTGTAAGAAAGCCTAGTTTGTTCATGAAGTTTGATTTTTTATTTATTTATTTTTTTTATGTGGCTCCCTAATCATGTACATTTGAGTTTTGGGAATTGCTATTCATAGTGATGGTAATGGTACATTTTTATTGATCTGCTGAATACTTGTTAAGAGTGAAAGTATCTAATTTTTTATTGTTGGTTTTTATATCGTGGTAACTAATGAGCTGGGGATTGTTCCCATTAGGCAACTGAAGAGGATACTCCCAGTTCTCTAGTGAAAGATCATCTTTTCCAGCAAGAGACAGTTGTTACCAGTGAGCCTTATAGAAGCCCAAGACCTTCTCCCTTTGAAGATTTGAATGCCAGAAGAGTCTACTTGCAAAGCCAAGCCAATCAGGTGAGAAACTAAATATTTTCCAGTGTGTTATTCACATGTATAGAAGTTGGATGCGTTAGATGAGAACGTTAAGGCCATCTGCCCTTTATCAGACAAAATTAACAAATAACAATAGAAACCCAGGAGAATATGATTTATAATGAATCAAATCCAGAGTGAGACAATAAATATGTGAGCCATAAAGCCCCATACAGCTGTAATAATTGAGCCATAAATTTAACTTTAAATTTTTCAGTGACATAGGTGAAAAGGAGGAATGTATCAGTTATAATTCTTTTATACCATGTGAATTCATGTAGTTAAAATCCTATCCATTCTGTCTACAAAATCAAAGGCCAATCAAAGTGGTTTTAAAGAATGTTTTAAAATACCTAATTCTTCTTGATAGATAACGGCTATAACACATTAGTGTCCAGTGACATAGTGGCTATACCTAAAGCCCAGCTGATTTTTATTGAGTGATTCTCATTTGACCTGAGGACTTCAAATGTGTGATTTGTTAGGGAAGAAATTTGCATACACTATAGATAATGAGACTAATCAATGAACAGCATGATAAAGCATTTAATTTTAAACAAATTATTAATATTAATTGTCTTACACTATATGCAAGACCCTGTGCTTTAGAATTGAGGGATGAGAAGGAAAATAAGCCACGGTTTCTGTTCTAAGTGTTTCTGGTGAGGTAATAGATACATGCTCATACTGTTATGGGAGCACAGGATACGGGCATTGAACTCATTGTGGAAGATGAGTAATTTTTTCTAGGTATGCCTAAGCTTTTCAAGGATGGGAACAATTAACCAATTAAAGAGGGTAGGGCTGGTGATGAAGGTTGAGGGAAAAGGACACCAGGAATGAGAGGATGAATGTTTTAGACAGAGCGAGTATATTAGCTTGTTCTGCCATAACAAACTACCATAAATAAAGTGTCTTACAGAAATATTTTAAGGGTTCTAAAGGCTGAAAGTCCAAGATTAGGGTTCCGGCATGGTTGATTTCCTAGTGAGGGCTCTCTTCCTGGATTACAGATGACTGCCTTCTGTCTGGGTCCTCACCTGGCAGAGACCGAGAGAAAACATTAAAGTGAGCAAGCTCTTTGGTGTCTCTTCCTGTAAAGGAACTAATCTCATCAGACCAGTACCACACCCTTCATGGCCTATTTTCCACAGGTGCCATTTCCAAATACCAGCACCTTGGGCATTAGAGTTTCATAGGAATTTTGTCTGGACATAAACATTTAGTTCATAATAGGGAACAACATAAACAAAAACATGCAAGATCTAGAGGGAAAGCAGCATGGGGGTAAAAAAGACAGGCAGATATGATAAGAGCCAGATTGTTGTGTTTTTGTGTTTGCAAAACACTTTGGGCTTTTTCTTGTTTGTTGCTTCACAAACCTGGATACACAGTCATATGCCAGAAGACACAAGGAACTGCCGATTGAACGTAGTGCAGTTTTTTAGAGTGTCAGTTTTACTCATAGACAGAAAACATTCCCAAGCAGCGTACCAGGTTACGTTTCCACCAGTAGTGGGAATTTTCCTGAACAGTTGGTATTGCCCATTTTTCCCCCAAGTTAGTCATTTGGTGAAAGTAAAGTAATATTTTACTGTGAGTTTAATTTATAGTTTCCTAACTACTACTGATTTTAAAGAACAACCTTGTTCATATGCCATTTGACCATTTAGAAATTGTTTTATGAAGTTTCCGAGATTTTTCTACATCTTATTTTGAATTATCCTTCTTTTTCTTACAATTTATAGGCATTATTTTATATATTTTAGAAACAAGGTTTTTGGTGGATATATGTATTGTAGGTATATCTACTTCTACCTTGTGGTTTGCCTTTTTACTCTTTTAATGGTTTCTTTTGCTTAATAAAAATTCTTAACTTATTTATGATCAGTAATTTAATTATTTAAGTAGTTTATCTTTATTGTATTTTTTCTATTACCATTTATCCCCCTTATACCTGCTTCCATGTACAACCACCCTCTCACCCCCACAATTGCCATGAGTTCTTTTTCTTTTTTGCTCTACCCCCCTCAATCCTCCCATCCTGAGCTGTTAGTCTGTCTCTATTTTGCTTTTTTATTTCAGTTTATTCATTAGATTCCACACATGAGTAAAATCATATGGTTTTTCTTTCTCTGACTGGCTTATTTCACTTAGCATAATGTTAGCCAGGTCCATCCATGCTGTCAAAAAGGGTAAAATTCTCTTAGAGCCGAGCAGTATTCCATTGTAGAAATGTATCATAGTTGTTTTATCCACTCAGCTACTGATGGACACTTGGGCTGCTTCCATATCTTGACTATTGTAAATAATGCTGCAGTGAACATAAGGGTGCATATACTTTTTTGAATTGGTGTTTTGAATTTCTTTGGGTAGAGACTCAGAAGTGGAACCACTGGGTCATATGGTAGCTCCATTTTTAATTTTTGAGGTGACTCTGCTGCTTTCCACAGTGGCTGCACCGATCTGCATTCCCACGAACAATGCAAAAGGGTTCCCCCTTCTCCACATTTCTCGCCAGCACATGTTGTTCGTTGATATATTGATGATAGCCATTTTGACAGATGTGAGGTGCTATCTCATTGTGGTTTTAATTTGCATTTCGTTGATGATTAGTGAAGTTGGGCATCTTTTCATATGTCTGTTGGTCATCTGAATGTTATCTTTGGATAAGGGAAGTCCTTTGCCCATTTTTTAACTAGATTGTTTTCCTTTAGGGGGGGCAGTTGAGTTTTCTAAGTTCTTTTTAGGTTCGGTTTGAGCTGGTTCTGCAGTTATACCTTGGTATTGTCTAGCCAGTGGTGTGTTTTTACAAAAAAAAAGCTGAATGAGTCAGCATAGGGTAGGCTATTATAGCATACAGCTGTCCATTCCAGGGTTACAGGATGGACAGATTGGGCAGAGACTAGATAAAATGATGTACACTTTATCCAACATTGCCGCTTTTAGACAGAGCTCTTGTTCCAGTCTATCTTAATAAGCTTATGGCTTGCCTTTGTGTTCAGTGCCTAACCCTAGTTTAATCATAGTTATGGCTGTTTGGGAGGAGAGTTACTTGGCTAACCATCACAACCCTTGAGTAAGGAGATACTTCTTGCTGCTTTGTGCAAATAGGAGCTTTGAGTTTTACATTTCCTGCATCGACTTAATTATTCTACCATTTTTCTTTAAGGTCTTTTTACTTACTAGAGTCAACCTATGCACTGGGAAAAATTCCCTGGATATAAGTTTTTGCAACAGTGGGTAAGGTCTTGGGTTTTAGTCACAGGCAGATAACTTTAGTTCCTGGCTTTTTAACTTACTCAGAATTAAAAAGCTACTAATCTTCTCTTCTTCCTATTTCCTCATTTAAATAGCAATAATAATAAATCTTCCACAGTGTTATTTTAGGGGTTTAAAAGTCCATTCATGGGGATTAATACCCAAATTTATAAAGAATGTACAAAATTCATTACCAAAAAGCTAACAATTCAATTAAAAAATTGGCAAAGGACCTCAATAGACACTTCTCCAAAGAGGAGTGGCCAGTAGACATACGAAAAGATGCTCAGCATCACTAATCATCAAAGAAATGCAAATTAAAACCACAGTATGATATCATCTCACACCTGTCATAATGGCTATCGTCAGTAAATCAACAAATGCTGGTGAGGATGTGGAGAAAGGGGAACCTTTTTGCACCATTGGTGAGAATGCAGTTTGGTGCAGTCACTGTGGAAAGCAGCGTGAAGGTTTCTCAAAAAATTAAAAATGGATCTGCCTTTTGACCCAGAGATCCCACTTCTGGGAATATATCCAAAAGAACCCAAAACACTAATTCGAAAGAACATAAGCACCCCTGTGTTCATTGCAGCATTATTTACAATCACCAAGATATGGAATCAGCCCAAGCATCCATCAGTAGCTGAGTGGATAAAACAACTGTGGGACATTTACATAGTGGAATACTACTCAGCCTTAAAAAAGAGAATTTTACCCTTTGCGACAGCATGGATGGACCTGGGGATGGACTTGGGGAAGTAGAAACCTGTTAATATTCCTGCCAGTTGTTTTCTATTAACTTCTACAGTAAATAAAAATATTACTGAAAGCAACACTCTCAAATTTCTGAGAATCGTTCTACTTTTACTTTGGGGAGGGTGACTCTCATTTTCAGAATAGCTGTTAATGTGTTCTGTGTGTTTTTATGTTTACTAATTTATTCTGCCTTTATAATTGTCTTAGGAAATCAAGAAGACTGTTAAAAATAAGAATGAAATTTTATTGTCCTTTGGTGCTTCACTAAATGCTTTTGAGTCCAATATTTTATTTGAGCAGAGCCAAAATCTTTAGTTTTTATCAGTGAAGAAATTCATGCATAGAATCATTAAGTACCTGAACAAAGTCACTAGGTTAGTAATTGTTGAATTACTGAAATTGTAATGTTATTTAGAAATGATAAGTAAACTTCTTCCTCTCCCTCCTTATTTTTATTCTAGCGCAGATTAGTATATAGGCAGCTTTATACTTCATTAAATCTGAAAATTACAGTTTTTTAAATCTTTATCATAGCTGGTGCCTACTCTGTGCTGAGTACTGTTTAAAGCACTTACGTAATTCATTTTGATCCTCACAACATCCACTATGACAAACTGCCTCATTTTGGGGATAAAAATTATCTATAGTTTATGCATTTCTGTATAAGCTTACTATGAAATATTACAAGAAATGCAAGAAAAATTTATATTAAAATATTGGCACCAGAAGGAAAAAAAAATAATCTAAACCTGTTTTACTTTGAGCAATATAATAGCAAGAATAAAAGCAAAAAGTAATCTGCATATCCTTTTCAGGAATCGGGGACATCAGAACATCATAAGCTTCAAGGATTCTTAGGACATAGGCATTTTAAGTCTTCAGATACCCACTTGAACACTTTTAAATACTGTACAAAATATGTTTTAACATCTTGAGTAATGGGCAGAAAATCTCATCCCCTAGGA